TTAATAAAAACAACATATCCCACCCTGCAGAGGTAAAATTTGAAAGAAATGGGTAATCCACCAAATTCCATCCTCAAACATTTAAAATTATGACTATTTCAAACGGAAAAAACATGCATCATCAAAAGAATGAAAGAAATATAAAAGGCATACTTTGCAGTTCAAAACTCAGATTCCCAGTGAAAACCCAGGAAAAAAAAAACGGCTACCGTTAAATCCATACCATACACCAATATCAAACTAAATCCAGATTCAGATCAAATCTCAAAATCGAAATATTCAAAACCAATAAACGGAGTTAGTAATACGGCGACTACTGACATTCATCCTCAAAGTCTAACGACCTGTTACATCAAGAAGCTCCCTCCTAAGTTTGTCCGCACCAAACAAACCCGTCCAATCATCTGACACCGGTCGCAGTTTGGAAAAGCTTTAAAAAAAAAAGACCCGAAAACAGCAAGAAGATCCCAGAAATTAATAACGATAACTTTAGAAAATAAACCCTGGAAACACGTGTGGCAACTAAAACAAGTCAAACAGTTTCGAGAACGCGTCGTATACAAAACGCACGAAGCAAGCAGCCAACATCGCATATAACAGAATCAAATATTCAAGTGTCAACGTTATTGAAGCTACTGCCCGCGCCTCCTCTGCCAACCACGATGTCTCCTCGGCTGACCGTTAGATCACAGATTCGACTAGCCACTTGGAAACAACTCCTTTCTTGGGAAAAGTGAAGGTAAAACCATAAATTTATCGTTCTCTTTGTCCTTAACTTTAATAAAAGACTTCTTCGAACCCTTCATATAAGAGCCCGGTACTAACACAATACTGCGAACTGGACAGCTCAGCGAAACCAAAAGGTACGTAATCAATTGAAAGATTTCTGTTTACCTTCCGCAGACCATTCTCGAGTGTTGTGGACTTCTGATGACCTGGTCGGTCCTGGTTGTTCTGGCTGAGTTGAATCACTAGCTCCTACCGGTTTCCCACCTCCTTCCAATAAAACTGACTTATCTTCATCTGGCTTCTCACCTGAGAGATTTTTTCTGAGAAAAAAAAATTGGACTAAGAAGTTGACAAAACTTACCTCTTCTTAATGAATTTGATAGTCCTGAATGCTCCTTTCCTGCAAATGGCCGCCTTTTGCGACTACGGCCTGTAGTCTTAGGTAAAATTTCTGCTTTGAATATTATGAACTGATTTTTTGCAATGTTCAACAACTTACCCTGTTCCATTTGCAAAATACCAGCCCACCACTCGCTGACAGGTTGACCTCTTCCGGAAAAAGTATGCGAGTTTTGCTGTTGCGTCGCCGAACCTTCTGCTTTCTGAATACAGATCTAAAGAAAACAGAAGTGTAAAAAAACACATACGAAAAATACATAACTCAATCAATTTCCAGTATAAGGGAGCACACAGCAGTCTGGAGGGCTAAAAGGCGGTGAGACCCAACAACTTTTAAACCATTTCGGAATCTTTGGAAGACAACAGTTTATATATACAAAAGACACGAAGCAGTTACAAAATATAGTTACGAAATCCGCAACGCTACTGTGGTGTTTGAATCCCCGAACGCACGGCGAACGAACCAGTGTTCCTTCAAAAACATCCGGCGATTTCGTAAATATCAGAAACGAAAAAAACCTGTAGCTTTTTGCCCGCCAGAATTTGTTTTCCATGGCTCATGCTTGTTGCTTCCAGCATAAGGCAACTTTTAGTTTAAAGGGAGGCGGAATTTCAGGAAACACTAAGCAGCCGAGAAGATAGATTCAAATGATGAAAATTTTAAAGAGTTATAATATTTCTGTAGTCTAGTTACTGACTTGCGTTTCATGAATTACAACAGCCGATGAGGTTCTTTTTAAACAAATGGATTTGCCATGTGCCTATTTTGTAAGGTATAAGAAGCAGCTTTTAACCAGCATCCGATGTTGTTTTTCTGATCTAAAGAACAACTTTTCTGTATTTAGGGAAATTTGAAAACAAAATTTTCTGAAAATCCTCCAACAGATTACAGTACCAAAAAAGTAACAGAAAGATGACAGTCATTTATCATTTAGAATCTAGCTCGTGGATTTGATATTTGAAGTGAGCGAGGTTACAATGCTTAAACAGCGTTCAGAAGTTGAAATTTTGAAGCATTTCAGAAACAATTTCTATCAATAAAGTGATATATTTTTAAATTCTTTGGTTAGTTATCGGTTTAGCGAGAAAGCTGAGGTTATTGATCTCAGTATTGATGATTCTTTTCTTCGAACCAAAACAGTGGCATTAAGAATTAATAGCACCTCCTAGAATTATGTGAGTCAGTGGCTTAGAAGAAAAGGTGGTCGGTAGTTGATGTAAATCGTTTCTGCATGTGGTTACCAATTAGGAAAACAAGAAGGGAAGTTATGTTTTTTTCCTCTTAAATTTTTGAAACACTTCTTAACACTTTTTTTTTCAATAGTCATTAATTTTTTTGGGGGTTGGTCTACAGTTGTCATTTGGATCTTTTTAATTTTTTTAAATTTTTTTAAAGAATGATTTGAAGGTATCATATCTCTTTGGGAACTACAAGTGATATTTTGTTATGCTTCATTTACCTTCAATAGTTGTTTCAG